AGTGATTCTCTTGTCTCAGTCTCCTGAGTGCTGAGATTACAGATGTACACCACTATAAATTAATTTGTAATCAAATGGGAGGTCTGAATCATTTGCTGTTTTTATTTTTACTTAACTATAAGCAAACAGAAGAATGAATACAACACAAACAACTCCAGATTGACTTTTCTTAGACCATTGAAAGTGATCAATTTAGCAGCACAAATTTAAGCATTCCTGGTAACCTGTCACTTAGTGTCACTGCTTTGTTGTGGTTTTTTTTGGTACCGGGGATCGAACTCGGGACCTTGCACTTCTCGAGGCAGGCGCCGGAACCAGTGAGCTAAATCCCTGGCCCAATCACTGCTTGTCTCCATAGTTAGTCCACAACAACAGCAAGGCTAGTCAAAGCTATTCTCACCATTGCTTTTTCCCCATATTGCTTTTTAAAAGAGCCAGAAGCTGGGTGTGGTAGTGCATACCTGTAATCCCAGCTCTTGGGAGGCTGAGGCAGGAGGATTACCACAGGTTCGAGACCAGCCTAGGCTACATAGTGAGACCCTGTTTCAAAAAACAAAAACAAAACAAAATCAAACAAACAAAGAGCCATAATGACATGTCTTAAACCAGAAGTACCTGTGGCACTGGGGTTTACAACTTGAGATTCAGCCTTGGGTTGTCTTTTTTTTTTTTTTTTTGAGGGGGGCTACTGGGGACCAAACTCAGGACCTTGTGCTTGCAAGGCAGGCATGGTGCTACTGAGCTAAAGCCCCAGCCTAGCCTTGGGTTGTCTTGGTGAGAGATGACATGGTGAAAATATGTCTCAGAGGTTGCCGTCCTGCACAGTTCTGGACTCAGGGGTAACAAAGGCAGACACAATGAATCTTTCTTTGTCTCTCTTCTTTTTAACTTCCCCGAAAGATTTCTTGATTCGTTTTATAACTGTAGACCTAGTCTTCTTTTTACCTGAATTTTTTTCTTCTTTAAATTCTGGGTTGCTAGTCTTATATTAATATGATGACCCCATAAGAGTAACAAAATGTTCCCCCAAAATAGAATTCAAATTTGATCAAAACATAAACCAGAATATGTGATTATGTGGAATTGCAAAAGACAGGAAGCGAGAAATGTCACCTTAAACCACTATCTGATAGTTCCGGTCTTACCTGAGTGAAGGAAGTGGCAAGAGGAGAAATCTATATGTATTGCTGGACCTGAGACACTGCTAGGGGCTTCCAGGCTTTCCCCTACTTCCCAGACAGCTGCTCCTTCATTGCATGCCAGTGACATGTGCTGCCTTCCCTCTTAGTGCAGAAGATTACCACATTGAATGGTGGTCTCCAGATTGATGGGTCAGAATGGGCCCATCATACTTCACTGGTCTGCTCTGCTCCCAAACCAGCCAGGTGAAGCAGGGGAGGCTTGTGCCACGGAGAAGTCAGGAGGCCACATCGTGGGATAGGATTGTAACACTGCTGATGTTATAGTCTCCCACTATTCTGGTGGCAAGGAAATCAGAAAAGAGTACGTTAGAATAGGCTAGCAAGAGAGGCTGAGGGGATGGCAGTAGGACCAACAGGAAAATTACTAAGGAAAAGGAACTGACAGGACTTGGTGACTGGCAGTGGGATGTAAGGGAAATGGAAGAGTCAAGGGTGAGCCCCTCACTTTGGGCTTGGCCACTCACAGAGTGCAGAAAGGCTAGGAAGAAGAAGTGACAGGCAAGAGAAAGTGTCCAGAAGGAACACAACATCTGAGTCCAGAGTAGAAGTGGAATGCAGGAGCCTTCAGCATTCAGGTGATAGCTGAAGCCAGGGAACATGTGTAGCATTCTGATGAAAACAAAAATTTAGAGTAAGGACAGAAGCCTGGCATGTTAGAGCACACCCATAATCCCAGCACTCAGGAGGCTGAGGCAGGAAGGTCATTGGGAGTTCAAGGCCAGCCTGGGCTACACACAGTGAGAGCCTGTCTCAAAACAAACAAACAAAAAATACACCAACAAAAAGAAAAAGAGAGACCGATGGGGGAATGATCGATAACAGATCAATGTCATGACAGCCATGGGAGAACAAGGCTCTTAGTGTTGTTACCCAGGATCAGTTAATGCCAGGCCTGAGAAGTATCTGTGAGCTTTAACATCTCTGTGGTATTTGATAATTTTCAAGAGAGTTGCTGCAGAAATCTAGGTTGCTCTGGGAATGGGCAGGAATCCACTGAGAAGGGACAGGGGAGAACTTTCTGGAGTGATGGAAATGTCCTATATATCTTGAGAGTCATGAGTTGTGGGGCTGTATTTGTCAAAACTCATTGAAATATACAGTTAAAAACCTATCTGTGCATTTTGTTATATGTAAATTATGCCTCAAAAATTTAAGTACAAAAAATAATTTAAATGCAGAATCCCCCCCCCCCGCAAAGATTTTAAATGCTAACGGCGGGGCTTTCTCGGACCGGTTAAAAAAATAGAATCTCCAAACCTGGGGACTGAGCTGGGTATCTCTCAAGGTTCCGCAGAAATCTGCGTCCTGTTGGAGGAGCTCATCGCCCACCGCTTTGGGTATTCTGGACTCTGACATAGCTTCACCATGGTCTGCCTGGTATCCGTCTTTCTGTCTGATTCTGGGCGGAACCTCGCTGGGCTGTGAGCTCTGGGTGGCACTGGCGATCAGGTCAGCGCCCTCCACCTGGTATTTGACAGCGCTCTAAGGCAGGGTGGGAGGCACGGATAAGCCAGAGCCGTAAAGCCTCAGTCTGCTTAGCTACCGGCCGTGTCCAACCAACCCGCGCTCAGATCTCGGGTCTCTGCTGCCGGCCTCCAGCCGCCTGGCCGAACAAGAGTCAAAGACAGAGCTGCCCAACGAAGGGGCCGGCTGGCCTCGTGGCGCAACGGTAGCGCGTCTGACTCCAGATCAGAAGGTTGCGTGTTCAAATCACGTCGGGGTCAGTTTGTTTTTCTGTGTCCGCTTTAAGTCCCCTTATTTGTTAAGTCTTGTCCAGACCCGATGTCCGGCTTCTCTCATAAAATTTCAAGGACTCCTCGTCGAAGGAGCCCGGTGATCCTGCGGGGTTGTTTTGTGGCGGATCCTGGTAATTTTGTACGGCCAGCAGCGCTCCAGAGGACAGGCGCAGCTCCGGATGTTCAGTCTGAAGAAGGTTTCTGAGCGGCCGGTTTTCTTCGTTGTGCTAAGCAGGATTCCCAAAAATACAGGCGAGCCACGCCAGCAAGAGTAAGAGTTCAAACCCCAGAGAGAAGAACTTAACGACAAAGACCTGTCGACGAGGTGGCCGAGTGGTTAAGGCGATGGACTGCTAATCCATTGTGCTTTGCACGCGTGGGTTCGAATCCCATCCTCGTCGGTGTGTCCTTGCTAAGGTGCCGCAGCTTTTGAAATCCCAAAGCAGGTATTTCTGTTGTCGCCCTCCTTTCTGTCTAGAGACAATGTTCCTATCCAATTCTTCTCTAGCTTTCTCTTTCGTCGTTTCTACCTCATTTTTCTACACCGCCAAGGGCTGTAGGGCGAGGATCCGTGTTCACGCAGCTGTCATGGAGCTGGCCTGTCCAAGAAACTAGAGCACCATACTTCTGGCTGGGCGCTGTGGCTTAGTTGGTTAAAGTATCTAACTAGTAAATAGTAGATCCTGGGTTCCAATCCCAGCGGTTCCTTCATATCTGATCTGGTTTTACAGAGTAGACGTTGCTTTAAGTTCAGAACTTCTTACTATAAACTTTGAGGTAGTTAGGGCTTTTGATAAATATGCCTTGCCCCTCATGTATACTCCACACACCAAGCTTCTCATCTAAGTCATAATTGCGAATTAGGCCAACAGCCAGTCACATCGCCTGTGTGTGTTGGTATTGTAGCTGAGTTGTTAATGTTCTCGAAGTGGTCAGCGGGTCAGTTTCCATTCGTATCTTGTAAGACAGTTTTGAAAGCTTTTACAGAAAGACCGAGCGGTAGTAACACTTTATACAGTAATAAAGTGAATTTACGGTAGCAACTGGCCGGTTAGCTCAGTTGGTTAGAGCGTGGTGCTAATAACGCCAAGGTCGCGGGTTCGATCCCCGTACGGGCCAAAGGTAGTACTTTTGAAACAATGACTACTAAAGGCAGTCTTTTTAACAAACGGAAAACGTAACAGGGGAACCCCATGAAGCAAGTCTCCACTTCCAAAACTTTTCGAATCCTACAGAGGAAACGTCCTTCAGAGCGTGGTGTTGCACGTCTGTATCACCACCACTGAGGAAGCTGAAGCAAGAGGAGCCCCTCGAGTTTGAGGCTACATACTGAGAGCCTGTCTGTCTGTCTGTCTGTCTGTCTCTCTCTCTCTCTCTCTCTCTCTCTCACACACACACACACACACACACACAAAGATCCTGGAGTTGTGAAGGTAAATCCAAAATGGGAATGTCTTGGGGGGGGGGTGGAGAAACTAGTTTGTTTTGTTTTGTTTTGGTACCGGGGATTGAACTCGGGACCTTTCGAGGCAGGCGACAGAACCACTGAAATCCCCGGCCCAAGAAACTGTTGTTTTGTAGTATCTTTATCAAAATTTCATGACCTTATGTGGCCCCTGAACTGTTAACTATAAACAGAAGGCTGTCAGTATTTGGGACAAGATTGTCTCAAATCATATGTTTCACTGATCAGTGGACTGTGGTAAATGGTGGGGAACAGAGCTGTCTCAAGGGTTCCCATCTTCCTTCACAGTCAAGATGTCCAGCTTCCGGGTCCTGGCTTGTTCGTCAGGACCTGAGAGGATAGCGCCTTCCCCTTCCCCTCCTCCTCTTCTGGAGATTTGCGTTTCTCCCTTCATTGGACCTCTGAGCTCCTGGGTGTGATTCCCTGGGTCTCACATTTCCGCTTGGATCCCCTACCTAACAGCAGGAAACATATCCTTCCTTCCCTGGGAACCCCTCCCCCCTCCCAGCACCACCCCAAGGGAGCTCCGTGAACAAGACGGACCCTCATTCCCATTGTTTTTGCCGGTCAACCCCTGTAACCACACACAGATACAGCTTCAGCCTTAGCAGCAGCAGCACTTTAATTTCACAAAAGTTCAGGAAGCCAAAACGCGTTAGAACACTCCACAAGAAATGGGCTTCAAGACCAGGAACAATTCTACCTGAACCCTGAGCAGCAAGACATCTCCCACCGCACCACTTCCACCAGGCAGTGCATTCCTCTTGGCTCCACCCGTTCTGGCTGGGGAAGCAATATCGCAGGGGACCAGGGCAGGAGCGGAGGTCATCCATCTGCAGCTGTGTATCTTTGCCTGCACTCAAGCTCCTAAAGCCCCTGGCACCTGAGATGTGGCCACCGGAGTCAGGATGGCCACAATGGGGCTGGGGCTTTTTCCGTTCCCATGTCTTGATCTCATATGGAGTTAGGACCTGACCCTAAACAGACCTCCTCAGGCCCTGGCTTCCCAAGGGATGGTGCTCTAGCTGGGAAGAGGAGTTGGTAAGAACAGGGTAGCTACAGAAGGCCAACAGAGTAGAAGCAGAGCAACATCCCCTCTCATCAGGAGAGCTATTAGACCCACCCACCCCCAGACAGCTCCTTAGGGCCCAGTGGGTGGGCACAGGCAGCTAGACGCAGTGGGAAAACCTCCAACACAGTCCTTCCCTCAGGCAGGCAGTTCCCACCAGGCTTTCTTGAAGAGTCCTTAGGGTCCAGTCCTGGCCAGCCTTGGCTTCTGCGCTCTCCCACTCATTTGCACAGTGCCTCCAACACCTCCAAAGTGCGTCGGATATCTCGGACTTGGCGAGCCAGCCCCTGAACTGGCTGCAGAGCCCGCTCCAGCTCCTCGCAACGCGCCAGCAGGGTGTACATGCCCTTGATACTCATGTCCACGGCTTCGCCTAAGGAGTCCACCGCGTCGCGGTAGGTCTGGATGCAGCCCACGCTCAGCGCCGTCAGCTCCTGCACCGCACCACCCAGTCCGCGGAGCAAACGATCCACCCGGCCTCCCAGCTCCCGACTCAGCCGCTCCAGATCTCGCAGCACTTCGGGGTCGATGGGCGGGATGGTGGGAGTGGGTGCGGGCGTTAAGCAGGGACGCACAGGGACAGGGGGAAGGGCCGGAGGGGCGCCGCTCAGGCGGATCTTGAGTTGCAGGTTGTTGGCGACAAAGTGGGTGAGGTCGCCGTGACGGCTCACTGTCCCCTCCAGCTCCAAAGGGCTGGAGATGGTGGCACGGCGTCCGCCGCCCGCGCCGGACTCGGACCCCGCTGTAGACCCCGCGCCACCGCACGCCCCGCTCAGCCCGTCCAGGCTGCGGCTGTCCTGAAGGCGGCTGGAGAACGAGCGGCCAGCCCTGCCCGCCGCCTCTGCCTCCTCGTCGTTGTCTTGCTCCTCCTTCTGTAGCTGCTCGACATTCATCTCGCCGCCTCCCGGGCTCCCTCGACGGCAGACCCTCTCGGAAGCGGGCTTCTCCTCGGGCAGCTCAGGGTCCCTGTGCCTGAAGGACGAGGGCGGGTCGTGCTCGCTACCTGGCGCTCCGCGGCGGCTCCCGGACCCAGACAGCGTCGCTCGGGGCCCGGACTCGACCTCCCAAGCCTCGCGTTCCGGCCGGTGAACGATGCTGCCGCTCAAAGCCTTCGAGGACGCCCTGAGGTGGCGGCTCACGCCCCCAACGTCCTCCGCCTCTTCCTCACCGGACACTCTCAAGCCTGAAGGCGGCTTAGAGGGCGTTCGATCCGGCCCGCCGCGGAAAACCGTGACCTCTTGTTCCGCTACGGCCAAAAGGACCGCCTCCGGCCCGGAGAGACGACTCCATACTGCGGCTGGGGGCCGGAACCGAGGAATTGATTCGCCACGGCTCGGGAGGCGGTGGTGGCGCCTTTAAGGGGCGTTGGTAGAGACGCGCCGATTGGCAGCGGCCTGACAAGGATAAGGACAGGAAGAGCATTTTTATTGGTCACGGTGACCAGGAAGTTCCGGAAGAAGACCAGTTAGTGAAGTGCCCAACACACGTGAGCGGCCACCAGGCTGAGGGACGGAGGTGACAGCTGCGCTCGTCGCCCCGCCCTTTCAGGAAGTTGAAGGGCTAGATTTTAAAGACTAAGGTCTTGAAATACCGGACTCCCGCGGGGGCGGGACCAGAGTCATTCCACCCATAATTGTCCCGCCCACAATTATTGCTTACCAAACGCACCAACTGGGGACCAGACTTGGGGTTCCTAGGGATTTGGGGGATGGAAATAGTGCTTTCTGCTTGGACCCTCAGGTTTGAGCTACATCTACTTAATCAAGAAGGTTAAAGCTAGAATTTTCGGCAGAGTATGAGTGGTTTGTTCCATCATCCTGTGAAGACCTACCCCTGAATCGCTCCGAGAGATGCATTGTGGACAGCGCAGCGGGGTCTATGGACTTTCCAGTGCTCTCAGCCACTCTGTGTTGTCTCCTTCCCCCTCCCCGGCGAGAATTTCTCCCATTTTGCCCCAAGGTAAAACAAATGAAAAGATCACAAATTTTGATAAGCACTTTATAGGAAATAAAAGATTGCGACTGACATACCTGGAGAGGTACTAATCAGACGAGGGAGGGGTCAGGAAAGGCCTCTTTGATGCCCAGACATTTAACTGAAAAGACCCTTCCAGGCAGAGGAAACAACACTTGCCCTAAACCTCGGATACTATAAGGAACTGGGGGCAGTGGTGGTGGTGGGAGGTGGTGAAGGTGGGAGATACTGGGGCTTAAACAAAATGAGCAAGGAGGAAGACTGAACTATAAGGTTGAAGAAGGAGGCAGGAGCAACATCAGGCAGGGAGGGGCTTGGAGTTCACGTCAGAGAATAGACTTCTTCCAAAGCGCGAGGGTGCAGCAGACATTGGAAAATAGAGGCAAGGTCCTGAGACTTTGGTGTTTAATAAAAACAATTCTCTAATGTTCTTTAGCTAAGAATGAATGTGATTATTCCTTTTCTGTTGTTTTGTTTTTAAAGTGGGGATTGAACCCAGGGCCTTTGCAGTGAGGTACATCCTCAGCCCTTTTTCGTTTTTTATTTTTAGACAGGGTCTTACTAAATTGTTAATATGCCTGGGTTGGACTTGAATTTGCAATCCTCCTGCCTCAGCCTCCCAGAGTGCTAGGGTTTACAGGTCTGCACTACAGGTCACACCTGGCTTGATTGTGCTTTTTTATTTTTTTTAATTTTTTGTTAATCTCCTGCAAAAATTCACACATTCACAGCATATAATGTCATCAGAGAATCTTTACTCCTGCTTTTGCCAGCAACGACATTGGCCCTTGCATCCCCTAACTGTCTTCATTGTGTTCTTGTGTTCCTTTCACTGTTTTCTTGAGGTCTGTTTTTTCTCACTGAGGCTATGTCTTACAAGTCTACATTTGGGGTCCATTTTTCTTTACATGATCCAAGGAATCGTGAATTATGTCAAAGCTAGTTATCTTGCCACCCACAACTAAAATGGGCTCTGAATCCAAATATAAAGATGACTTTTTGTATGGTCTGTCGGGAGCAATGTTACATAATTTTAGGGAAAAATCATTTGGTTAGCCTAGTTCTCCTGCCTACAGCCCAGATATGGAATTCCAAGACATAATTCCATTTTGGCCTCCAGTCACAACTGAGACCTCAATGATCTGGTGATGCTGTGATGCTCCAGTACAAGATTACACCAGCTGAAGACATCCTGGGAGGAACAAAATCTTCATCTACTCAGTTCCTCATTGTTCTTGGATTGTTACATCTTGTTTACACCGATGTACTGAACTTTCTGCAAGTTGTTTGTTAGCTTGTTACATCTTATTTACGAGTCATTTGTTACATTTGTTTCTCCCGATGTACTGAATAAAAGGTGCGGCAAGCTGGGGGCTTTTGTCTTTGCCATCCCAGAGCAGCACTGATCAGACCCAAAGCTCGGCTTCTTCTCAGTCTCATTTTTCTACCTTTCCTGTAATTCACCTTGTGCTGCCATGGCTAGAGGAGACTAGGACTTACTGCAGAGGTTCTAGAAACGTCCCCTTTCCCTGTTCCCTGTTCCCTACAATGGTCTTGCACATTTTGGCTATTTTTCAATTTTTGTTGCCTTCCCCGGGTTAAAGACATCAATAACCATTTGTTTTCTCTGAATTTGTCATAAACTTCCTGGGCTGGAGAGTCACTCTGTTTTTCTTGATGGGAGCCAATCTTCAGGCAGAAAGAGGGGAAAGTCTTAGAGAGAGAGATGGCCATATGCTGTCAGAAGTGCAGCTCCCCGTCACCCCCCAGGCAGCCAGCTCTGATGGTAGGAGCTCACTGTGTCACTATGCATGGGAAGGCCATAATTGCCACTGTCTGTATCTGGTGCACATGCGTGTGTGTTTGTGTGTGTGGGTTTTTTGTTTTGCTTGAGACAGGGTCTCATATATGGTTCAGGCTCGCCTTGAACTCAAAGTGTTGTCCAGGCTGTCCTTGAACTCACTAGTGATCCATTTGCCTCAACCTCCCAATTTGAGGGTTATGGGCTTGTGCCCCACACCCAGCTTTGTTTTTTATTTATTTATTTGTTTGTTTGTACTGGGGATCAAACTCAGGACCCTGTGCTTGCCAGCCAGGTGTGGCACCACTGAACTACATCCCTGGCCCCTGTATTTTATTTTGAGAAGGGGCTTTGGTTGCTAAATTGCCCAGGCTGGGCTCAAACTTTCTTAAACTCCTGCCTCAGCCTCCAGTAGTGTTGGGATTACAGGTGTGCACTCCCATATGCAGCTTATATGAATTTATAGTCACCTACAATTTAATAAAACTCTCTTTCCTCTGTTCTAAAAAGCAAGTTATATACATCTAGCCTCGGTAAATAGATATTCCTTAGAAGATGGAAGAATTTCCCTTAAGAATGGAAGGGAAGCTGAGCACAGGAAGGGAATGATGTGAGAGGCTTCGTGTGGGTGGATCACTGGCCACTGCAGAAAATATTTACAGGAGAATTAAAGGGGACAGGTGAACTAGCAAGAAGGGGGTTCCAAGTATGAAGTATCTTAGCCTAGCTTGATGGCAGTAGTCAGGCAGATGGACATGCACGCTGAAAGTTGTGGTGGACAAATGTTCAGCTGCCCAAGAGTGCTGTGTAAGCGAAGCTTCCCCCCACCCCCACCCCACAGTTTCCTGAGGGTGGGTGAGGTGACAACCTCCTTCATTGAACCAGGATAGGGACCTGACCCAGCTGGCCAATCAAAACACTTCATCCCTCCTGCACACTGGCTCAGAAAGGGAACAGAACACAAGGCGCAACCAGTAAAAGTTGTCTCTAGTACTTCTAAAATTATGTTTTACATTTAGAATATTTCAGTTTATTTTTGAAGTGCTGGGAATGGAGCCTAGGGCCTCATACATGCTAGTTAAGAGCTCTGCCACTGAGCCTCACGCTCAGCTTTTGTTGGCTGGTTTAACTAGAGCCAGTAGGGAATGTGACAGGACTTTTCCTGCTCTTTGGATCTCAGGTCAAGGACCAGCCTGTCCATCTCCCAGAAGACCATTCTGGACAAAGAGAATGAGGCCGATATGTGAAGAGAACCAGAGATAAAAGATGAAGCCACATGGTGGTGCAGGCCTGTAATCCCAGCACTGGGGAGGCTGAGGCAGGAGGATCACCACAAGTTCGAGGCCAGCCTGGGCTACATAGTAAACTGTAGCCTGAATTACACAGCGAGATCATCTCCAAAAAAAAAAAGGAGGAGGAAGAGGAGGAGGAGGAGGAAAGATGAGGCGACATGTGTTCTAGGACATTTGAATTCCTGTGTAGGGGCAGACCACTTCCACCTGTGTGCTTCTTATGATCTGGTTCTTTGCCCCACCTCCATCCCACTCCCCAAAACCCATGTTCCTCTTTCCTTCCTATAATAAATGGCAACTCCATCTTCCCAGTGGTTGGAGTTATTCTGATTCTTCTCTTTTTGTTATAATCCTGTACAATCTTTGGTTCTACTGTAAAATATACCCAGAATAACTGATCTCACCCCCTTTAATTCTGAGACAAGTTCTCCTTAAATTGTCCAGGCTGCCCTCAAACTCCAACCCTCCTGCCTCAAGACCCTCATGTAGCTGGGATGAGGGGCATGGGCCACCACATCTCACTCACATTCTTTTAAACTGGAAATAATATCACTCTTATGCTCATAACCTTACAGAGACTCCCAGTTTCCCTAACAATTAAAACTCCAGTCCTGACTGTGGCCTAGAAGAGCTGAGGTCCATGCAGGGCTCTCCTCTCATCAGTTCCTTCCCTTCTGTTGCACAGCCTTTCTGGAGCCGCCCTGTTCTGTCTCCCTGATGTCCCCCCCTCAAGACAGCCATGCTCCCACTTCAGGTATTACACCAGTCCTTCCATTTATTTATTTATTTATATATTTATTATCAGGAATCGAACTCAGGACCTTGCACCACTGAGCTAAATCCCTGGCCCTTATTTGTGTATTTTTAAGGCTGAATCTGCCAAGAAAATTTTCAGCCTGGATATGCCTCCTTCACCTCCCTCAAGCCCTTATTCAAACTTTCCCTTTTCAGTGAGATTTCCTTACCATGAATTTAAAATTGTAGTCACTTTTCCCAGTAATTCTGGACCTTCCTCCCCTGCCTTTTCTTCATAATAGTTTTCACCATCTGACAAACTATGTATTCTGTTGCTGTGTTATGTTAGCTCTGTGAGGGAAAGGTCTTTTGTACATTTGCTCCCCACGTCCCCAGTGCCTAGAATAGTGCCTGGTCCTGCTCAACAAATATTTACTAAGTCAATAACCCAACCCATTCAGTTCCCCTTTTGGCTTAAATTCATTCAGGATGTGTTTCTGTCACTTGCACCCAGAGTGCTAATAATACATCCTGAGTACTGTGGGTGGTGTACCGTAAGCTTCCCTCTTTTGGGGTCTGATGTCTCTGAGCAGGTGGATGTTCTATCAGATATGGCTCTTTTTTTTTTTTTTGGTACCAGGGATTGAACTTGGGTCCTTGCCCTTGCAAGGCAGGCGGCGAAACCACTGAGCTAAATCCCCGGCCCTAGATATGGCTCTTTTTGTAGCAAACTGATGGAAAACACAATGGAAACACCACCACCAGTAAGGGGAATTTATTGTCTTATGCAGTAATGGTCTTAAGGCTGCATGAACTTCAGAGAAGCTTGGAATCAGTGGCTGAAGGCTGTCATCAAGACTTGTGTTCTGTGGTAGAGGTCAGTTTTCTTTCTTTCTTTCCTTTTTTAAATTTGAGCAGAGTCGCACTATGTAGCCTAGGCTGACCTCAAATTTGCAATGATCCTCCTGCCTCAGGCTCCCAAATGCTGGGATTACAGGCATCCCCACCACACCTGGTTTATTTAGGTCAGCTTTATTTCAAAAGGGCTTTCTCA